AAAGAGTCCAGTGGTTTCTAGAGTCTAGGGGAGACAGGCAGGGGCACGGGCAAACAGGTAACCAGTGAGCAATTTGCAGGTCAGCGGAACTACTGTGCATGACAGCAAGGGGAGACAGGTGCCATTACACCTCTGTCAAAACCTGCAGGACATAATGTGCACATGGCAGTCTTCGACATTTCCTACCCAGTTTTTCTGTAAACTTTAAACTGTTCTCAGTCTACTGGTAAAACAATAAAAAGCTAAAAGAGAGGGGTTGCTATCCAACTATAATTCCACAGAGTAGACAATATTATGTTCCAGCCTGAGGAAATCAGATTTTTGCGAGCGCTTGGGGGACAAGAGGAATCCTGCCTGTGTCCCACTTTCCAGCAAAGTCTTCCCCCGTCACTTAGAAAACTTTCTGAGACTAAGTTCCAAACAAGCCCGCAGTAATTGGATATAACAAGCCAGAATAAACGATGGATCATTCCATGAAGGAACACCAGAGTTGAAATCTAAAAGAGTAAGTCACTCCTTTTAAACTTTAGCACATTGATTTACACAATCTCACCTGGCTTCCTTTGCCATTCTCCCACGTATGTTAACTTGGAAAAGCGTCAGGACAGAGGGAAAGAACCTGGCTCCTCTATGGCTCGCAGTTCAATCTTTCCCTTGACCCGCAATCCCACTGAACCTCTAGGGAGCACAGTAAGTACCTCGAATTCTAAAGCATTTTCAGTCCTGACCAGAGAGCAAAGATGTTGTCAGTTATGTATATTTAAGCTGCAAATGGAAAGAACAAACCACTGTGGGCAGCTCTTTACTTGGTCTTATAAAACTGAATTGCTGTCTTTTCTCCTTCTTCTACATCCAAGAACACAAGGTTTATGGGTGAAAATAATCATTGTTTGGCATGATTGGAAAAGCAGTGTAAAATTGGAAAGAAGCATGAAATGGGTGACGGAGACAGAATATATGCATAAGTGCTATATTTGTAAATTAAAAAATTAACAGAGAAGCGAAGTTACTCATAGTTGGTTCTCCTAGCCTGGCTTCCATTTGAGATGCATTTTTTAAAAAATTATCAAAGTAAAATTTACAGGTAGTGAACAGATCTTAGGAATACGATCTGGACTTCCAGGGAAATTGCAGAACAGTGACTAGCAGAGAAAGAACCTCTCCAAGTTTTGGTGTCCAGACCCTGGAATACAGCAGAAGGAGGAGATGGAGGGCGGTTGGTCTCATGGACGCAGGAAGGATCTGACCTGAGACTTGAAGCCCATGAAGAGAGAGAATCAGGAATTCAGCAAAATAAGAAAACCAGGGCAGTGGGCCTGCTGGACAGGGAGAAACAGCAAGAAAGCTGTGTGGCTTCCCCGTGTGCCGGCAGAGGCCCTGTCGCTGGGGAGAAGCAGCAGGGACGCCACCTCGGTCTCCCTCCCCACCCATGGGCAACTGGATGCAACAGGGCTGAGATGGCAGTAACTGTGCAGGCCTGGGGCAGGTGAGCTGGGTAACCATTTAGTGCAGAACAATATGCAATATAGTAACCATTGTGGATTTCCTACTGTTGTATTACTGGTTTTTTTTGTTTGTTTGTTTCATTTTACTGTTTTGCTTTACTCCCTTGAGAATAAAAATAATCTTTAAAAAAAACCAATGCAATGTGATGGGTTTTGATAAACATATGTACACACTAGCCAACAGTTCAATCAAAACACAGCATGTTTTTCCAGTCACCTAAATGTCCTCGTACGTCTCCCAGCAAATCCCCCCATAGGCAACCAGTGTTTGGATTTTTCCCGTCATACATTCATTTTGTAGGTTTTTGAATTTTGTATAAATGCAGTCGTACTATATGTTCCATTTTGTGTTTGGTTTCCTTTGCTTAACATTATGATTTTTTAGATCCATCTGGCCTGTGTATGTTAGTGTTTCTTCACTTTTTTTCATTCCTGAGAAGTATCGTTTTTATATGAATATATCACAATTTGTTTATCCATTATGTTTTTGATGAACTCTTGGATTTCTTCCAGATTTGCCTCAAAGAATGTTTTCACTTCTTTTCAGTTAATACCTAATTGATGGTTCATAGGGTAGGTATATATTTAACTTTGTAAGAAACTGCCAAGCAGTTTTCCAAAGTCGCTGCCCCATTTTGTACCCTCACCAGCCATGCACGTGAGTTCGTTATTTCCCCTTCTCACCCACATTTGGAATTATCGATTTGTCCCTTTCAAGCCATCTGTGTATGTGTGCATGACACGAATTTCACACTGCAATTTTAATGTGCCTTTTTCTGACGCCCAGGTGTTAGCCGTCCTTACATGTGCTAGTTGATCATTTGTGTATCCTCTTTTGTGATGCATCTTTTCAAATCTTTTGCCTCTTTTTATTGAATTGCTTAGTTTTAACCATTACATTATTTATAGACTCTATCTTGCTGCAGAAGGTTAATGTGAATTAAAAAGTTAAATATCTCACCCCAATATCTTTAAGTTATGAGATGATGGGTGTGATAATCAAAGCCCAAGTCTGTCTGTGGTGGTGGCAAACCTGGTATGCATGGTAAAGTGTTTTTCTTTCAAGACAAAATATATTAGTATATGAGTCATTTTTTCTAGACTACAACCTTAGTATTCAGGTTTAATTGTAGTGTTGGCACTTCATGACAAGTAAATGGGTTTTGGGCTGTAGCTTGGGCACTCACCTCTAAAAGGTTCGCCATCACTGCACGAGAGCTTATGGTTAAACCACAGGATCTAAGATTTCATTTATTTTACTAATAATGCTCAGATAAGCACATACGCATCCCTCACACCTGTTCCTGAAACCAGGGTGCCAACAGGAAAACATGAGTCTTCCCGAGAGTTCTTCTCTTCCCTACATTTAAAATTCTGTCAAGGCTGTCTGGCTGCTGCTGAATGCCTTAACATGGAGATATAAATGATTGTCAGGGATCCATAAAGATGTACCCATAGCTGGGTATGGTGGCTCACGCCTGTAATCCCAGCACTCGGGAGGCTGAGGTGGGAGGATCGTTGAAAGTTCGAGACCAGGCTGGGCTACAAAGTAAGCTTAAGGCCAGCCTGAACTGCATAGCAAGACCCCGTCTCAAAAAAAAAGATGTACCCATAGATAATAGAAAGAAGCAACCATTAAATTTGATAAATAGCTGTGCTAGTCATCAAGGAAGTTTAAATCAGTACTCAAGACAGGAAAATCAAATAACAATTTAGATAATAACTTCAAGAATAAGTGCTAGTAAGTTTCTTGTTATTGCAACAAGCAACAAACAGTGTTATTCCAAATTTTACACAAAGGCTTTAATTATATCAGAGAAAGAAGGGGTAAAGAGGTTTAGCCACTTTTGCAAATTCTAACAGATGTCTTAGGGCAATTTTTAAAACACCAGATCGGGGATCCTGTGATAACTCACCTGACTAAATCTGGGTCACAGTGTTCCCTCCTGGTCACCTGAGGCTGCTACTTTTCTGAGCGTCTCTATGTATTCTGAGTCCTTCCATGAATGTGTCTTAGTTCTTCCAAATCAAGAATAACAAAACAATACAATTCTGTCATTTTACAGACAAAAATTCTTATGTTGCCTTTTTAGGAGGAAAATGACTTTGTTTCGGGAGTTAGACTAGCTATAATTTGTTTGTTTGTTTGTTTGAGAAAAGGTCTCACTATGCAACCTAGGCAGCCCTCAAATTCCTGATCCTCCTACCTCAGCCTCCCAAGTAATATTCATCCTTAATTCTTCAAATACCAGAGATTATGAAATAAAATAAGGTACAACATGTGAATATATAACTAAATTTATAGCGTCAGCCTCCTTCCCGTGTATGCAGTGACACAAAGAAGAATTGGAATTATCAGATCCGAGGCTTGGGCGACAGCCCATCCAAAAAGTACTTTACAGTTACAACTAAAATGAGCAGAACAGAGGGTCATGATCACCAGCCTGTTTACTACACAATATGGCATAGTTCCCAGATAATGTGAAGAAATTATATATTTTGTTTCTTATGTGTTGATAAGTACTTTAATATAACACAGATGTTGATCTCATATCAAAATAAGTCTGACCTTTAAAAGCCAACTTGCATTCCATGAAACCCTTTCAGCAAGTAATTTGGCAACATTTCAGAGCCATAAAAATATTTATAGGTGTTGACTATTCAATTTCACTTCTAGCAATCTCTCCGTGAAGAAATAATCTCTCCATTAAGAAAAGTATTGTCATACTTCTTTACAGAAAAAAATAGAAACAGTTTTAGTTTACAGTTACAGGAATGATTAAGAAATTGTTATAAGAACATGACACAGTCAAGAAAAGGGAAATGTTTTCCACAAGATGAACAGAAAACACAAAATCTTAAATTCCCTATGATTATATTATTTTTTATATACAGATAAGTGGCAAAAATGGGAATAGTCTAAACAGTCAGGTTATGAACTTTTCCATTTAATTTAAACTTTTAATTTCAGTTTTTATTTTTTATTGGTATATGTTTGCATTACATGATTCTATTCTATGACTGAAAAGCTTTTGCACAGCAAAAGAAACAACAGTGAAGAGATAACCTACAGATTGAGAAGACATTTTGCCAGCTATTCCTCTGACAAAGGACTCATTGCTAGAATATATAAAAAACTCAAAATACTAGACTCTTCCCCAAAATAAAATTTTAAAAAACCTGATCAAAAGACAGGCATTTGAAATGAATAAACATTTATCAAAACAGCTACAACTAGTCAATAAACACCTGGAAAAAAAATGTTCAACATTTCTGATCAGCAGAGAGATGCCAATTAAAACAACACTCTAGGAAAAAAATTTTTTTTGGAGACATGGTCTCCAAAAAGATGTATGACATCAATTCACGGCAAAACTGGCTGAGCATCTAGGCAGAACACGCCTAGAACACATGCGCAGAACAGCTTCCAAAGCCCGGCACCTGGACTTCTCGCGAGAACTTAAGTAGGTTTTCAATAGGACGCCTGGACCTGACGTCAGCTCGCGCATGGGAACCCAGCACTGCCTCTTAGGACCCGTATGCGGACGTTCTCGCGGGTTTCTTCCAGATTTGGACAGCATAAAGGGATGCAGATTCCTGGAGTACAACTTGCCAGGTGGGCTTTCCTCCCCAACTTTCTGTAGGGTATTCTTTATCTTGCTTTTTCCTCTTTTACTCAGTTCAAACTCGCTCTACAGTACCAGTTTCTCCCTCACTTTCCACTTTTACTTTTCGAATAAACTTTGCCACTGCTTTTTGCTCGTTTTGCTCAGTCAAGACGCGAAGAACCTGCAATCTAACTCCATAGGAGGGGCAAGCAACCCAAACCCCAGTAACATGTATTTATCGAGCCATTTTCTTTAAGAGAGTACCCGGAGTTGGGCAAGGTGGCGCACACCTGTAATCCCAGCACTCGGGAGACTGAGACAGGAGGATCGTTGCAAGTTCGAGACCAGCCTGAGCTACCAATATGAGCTCAAGGCTGGCCTGAACTGCATAGTGAGACGCTGTCTCAAAAAGACAAAAAAGCACAAAATGAAAAGAAATACTTAATAATATCACTATGCACTTTAGGCTTGCCTTGAATTTACCATGAATGCTGGCTGGCCTCAAACTCATGGTAATCCTTCTGCCTCAGCCCGCTGAATGCTGGGATTATGGGTGTGTGGTATCATGCCTGGCTCTTGATTTAGGGTTTTGTTTTTGTTTTTGTTTTGTTTAATGCTGTACTTTTCAAGAAGATTTGCTAAGCAAATTCCCTGACCTTCAGGGGCAGGGCACTATGTTCAGTCTCTCTCAAACTCAGTCCCCTGCCCTCCAACCTGCCGCCCATGACTATACTCTCCTCCCCTCTGCTATCTGGCTCAGGAGGTCTCAACGAAATTAGACCCCGTTCTCCACTGGTATCCTCAGATATCTTTGACAGATAATGCCCTTATCCACCTGTGTTCTGAATCAACATAATTATTTATCATATTATAAATGAGAAATAATGAAAATCAGGATACACTTATCAACATGTGAGAGTCTGGCCCTGCTGATACCAAGGAAGATATGCTGAAGGCTGTAGTGGCTGCCCACTGACAACAAAGAATATTAGATGCCTTAACAAAAGATCCCCAGTTAGAAATACCACGCTATGGGTAGGAGCTGTAAGCAGCAAATCTGTTTATCTAAGGCCACTCATTTCGAAGAGTCCTGATCCAATGTTATGGTTGTTACACTGTGTCAACTTGAAAAGTTTAGAAGTTTAACTGAGAGACTCAGCAGGGATCCAGGCCTGTCCTTTGTAAATATCCTCATCCTGTGCAAAAGGAGGGCAAGGGAGATTTTGTGAGTGGTACACCTGCCCTGAAAAGGGTGGGGGTGGGGGTGGCCTGTGTACAGTATAAAAACCTTGCTTCACCCCTTTTTGCTCCGACAGCTGCCTCGAAGTGTTGCCCCTGGGCCATGCCACCAACTGACAATGGATTGAAACTTTTAAAAACTGTAAGTTAAGTAAACCTTTCGTTCCTTAAGTTTGAGGGTTGGGTATTTTGTTCCAGCAATGAGAAAAAAGTAACCAAGATAGCTACACTCTCCAAAATGTATGGGTAGACCTTTTTCTCACCTTCTTTATTAAAAGCCAAAGGCCACAGAAAATAGTCTTGTTGAAGTTGCAGATCCACAAGGCACCAACTGATTCAGGAAAACAGACATTGCTAGAGAATCGTGTGTTCTAACTAGACTCTTCCCACATCCTCAAACCTCATTAAAACCCCAATCTTCCACTTGGTCATTCCATTTCTCTCTTGGGAACTGGCCCATGGTCCCCCTTGAAAGCATAATCTGTCCAAAATAAACTCTGATGTTTTCTACATTCTTTGTCTGTTGATAAATCCATTTACCTCTTACCTCCATAGTCCTCTGTATGCTGTCCAAAAAGACCTATCCACATAGGTGAATTGCCATGAATTCAAATCTTCTGGTCAGATACACTGACTTACTATCCCAGCTACCTTGACCCATGTTGCCATCACCAGCTGGACTTTCAAAAGTGGCAAAACAACCCTTGGAAAAGTTCTAAACAAATGAAACTGAGACATTTTCTCTATTTGTAAAGTTACCTTTTTTAAAAAAAATTGTTGTATATAACCCCTTTTTAAAAACACTGCATTTATGTAAAATGAGTTAGGCTCTAGGCCAGTTATAATCAACCATGACTACACACTAAGACCACCAGTGAAACTCCTGACCCCCCTCCCATACTGCGTGGATTCTGTCTGTGAAATATCAGTTTCCCAGTGGGCTGTGGGCACCTAGGTCTTTACACTGCCAGGACCTTGTCAGAAGTACAGATTCTCAGGCCCTGCACCAGACATTTGGCATTTAAATCTGTGTTACAGAAAATTTCCACAATTTGTGTGCCTATTAAAGTATGAGGAACACTAATATAAATCAAATCATCACAAAACAAGGGCCCCATCTGCCTGCGTATCCAACAGAATATGCAGTGACTATGTGGGATTTGGAAAATTCTTTATGGTGTAGGATCGTCTAGTACCTGAGGATGTCTACTATAGCATCCCTGTCTTCCTACCAATAAATGCGAGAATCTTGGTCAGTTTTCTGCTCCTATGACTAAATACTATAGGCTGAATGATTTATAAAGAGAAGAAATCCATTCCTTACATTTTGGGAGGCTGGAAAGGCACACGGTTTGAGGACCTTGTTACTAAATTATCACACGGCAAAATGACACAGAGAGGACAGTGAGATTGCTAGCTTGGTCTGTCTTTCTCTCCTTTAAAGGCATTAATGTATCCTGAGATCGTATCCTCATATCCTGCTCTCACCCTCTGCAGACTGGTAATGTGGATTTGGAGATTAAGTTTCTTAACAGATGAAGGGCCATTCAGACCACAGCAGTGAGATATTTTCACCCTCACCATTTTGATCACAGAAAGCATCCCAAAAGCCTCTCTGATACTTCCTAGGGATAGAAGTATTTACCTAAGATGATTTAACCTAATGTTTTGAAAAGTCAAGTTTAGTCTCACTGTCTTCACTCCCAAACTGCTGACGTCTCTCTTAATAGTAAAACTGTCAACCCAGTCCTCCCCAGTTCCAACTTATGATCATTGCACTTCCTCCCTAAACTCCCAGGTCTTTTGTGTGCACACTGGTAGATTATTAAATCCAGACCCTTGTACCTGGTAGGTGTGCTCCACACCAACTCAGCTATGTCTGCCGGCCACAAAAACCCTCAAGACAGGGAACAACAACAACAACACAAAGACAGGGAACAATCACTGTTAGCACTTGTATCTAGGTGTCCCCCAAAGCCTCAGGTGTTCATAGGTGGGGAGTTTTGGAGGTGACTGAACCTAAGATATGTCAATGTGGATTACCAGTTGTGTGCATATGCATTAAGGGTGTGAGCAAACTAAATTAGTCGACTTACTTGTTTAGCTTAACTCTAGGTGTGGACAACGGGAAGGCCCAACCTAGTGGTAGCCTGGATAGAATATAAAGGATGTAAAGATGGCTGCTTGCTGCTTCCTGCCTGCCATGGACTGTTTCTCCTTTGTCACACCACCCTGCCTTGGAGCACCCTTCTATAGACTGAAACCTCTATAAACTGTAGCTAAGATAAATCTTTTCTCCTTTAACTTGTGAGTGTTGAGTGTTTGTTCCAGCAATGAGAAACCTATGACAGTCATCATTCTATCTTTTAACTATTTAAAAATATATATTGAAAGCACTCAACAAATATGTATTTGTTTTGAGTTAATGTTATTCACTCAATAAATATCAGTTTATAAAACACTGTTGTAAATAAAAAAAGACAAGTAAAATTCAGTTCATTAGTACCATATTCAAGAGGGAAAATAGGCACTAAATCTTATATTACAGTAAGAGTTTAAAGGAAAAATTTTAAGTTTGTAAAAAGAAAAAAGGATGCAGGCACATTTATATTCAGGGAGTTACTTTATAATTAGTAGAGAATCAATGCGTTTAAAAGTTTCGAGTATTTCCATTTCTTAAAAAGAAAAAAATCTTGACTTTAAATAGATAAATAGGTGACTACAAACTTTTTCTTTTCTTTTTTCTTTTTTTGGTACTGGAAATCAAATTCAGGCCCTCATGCTTGGCAGGAATGCTCTGTGCCACTGAACCATACACCCAGCCCCACTGTAAACTTTTTCATAATAATTTTCTCAGCAAAACCTTCCTTTATAAGTAATATAACAGTAAAACCATCCCAGAAGAAAAAGAAGTTTGCAATTTTGAGTAATGAGACCCAGATTAATAAACCTTGCTTTATTATAGCTCTAAAGGTCTGATAATCTGTCTTTAAATCTCATGATTTGGGTATTAGCAATCAGATTACTAGAAAAACATTTTTCCCCTGTGATACTAGGTCTCAAGCCAAGGGCTTTCCCACTGAGCTACATCCACAGACATTCTTTGTTTTTTGTTTTAAAATAGAGTCTCACTAAGTTACTAAGTTGGCTAGCCTGGGCTCTAATTCACTACCTTCCTATCTTGGCATCCCAGAGTGCTGGGATTGCAGGTATGCACCACCACACCAGCCTATAACGATAGTTTATTTGTTTGTTTGGGTACCAGGAATCAAACTAAGGACCCTGTGCTTGGTAAGCAGGCATTGTGCCACTGAGCTACATCCCTGGCCTATAACAACATTTTTAAAAAAGACATTTTAGAATTTGTTCCTCCCTGCACACCTAAACTAAAATTTCCAAAATTTCCTGCATAAATCTATAACTGTATAAATATATAAATAGTTCATGTATATAAATAGATATCTTTATAAATAATCCACATCAAGAATAATCATACAAAAAATACATTGCTTAAAAGTTAAGATATTATTTGAGATAAAATTATTATCCAATGTATATATGATTGGAAATTTCAAATCTCTATTTTACCCATTGCTGGTGAATTAAGTTTTATTTAATGTACCATATTCCCCTAGAGAGAGAGACACATGAAGATTCAGCAGCACAGAACAGTTGTTCTCAAGCAACTGTTAAAGAAAGTAGATGCTTATTTGACATAAAGATTGCAGCTAGGCATAAACAGATGGATACCATTGCATCATCAGTGCTGTTTTATATGGCGACTTTGTATCTATTATCATTAGATCTAAAATGGCTCCCAAAGCCTCCTGTGTTTTGCAGGTGATTGGATTATATGAAGAGTACAGCAAATTTGCTGGTTAGGTGGAGTCAGATGAAAGAAGTGAGTGTTATGTTTTGTGTCTGGATGTCCCCCCAAGCCTCATGCAGTCATGAGGAGGGGGGCAAGCATTTTGAAAGCAACTGAATCTAGAGTATGTGATTGGTTCATTGTCTAGTGCTGAGGGTATAAATGCTCTACTTGCCTTAGGGTGGGTAACCTAGATACAGAATAAGGGGGAAAAGAGGCTTGCTTCCCCTCTTTTGCTCTTGTTGCCTTTGGTATATTCTGCTGCCATGAATGGTTGCCCCTATGTGATGCCACCCTGCCTTGGAGCCAGCTGATTATAAAATGCAACCTCCACAAACTGTGAGCTAAATAAACCTTTCCTTCTTTAACTTTGGGTGTTCAGTATTTTGTCTCAGCAATGATAGAACTGGAGGTGTGGTCTAGAAGGCTCTATCGCCCTCCTAAGCTCCTCCCTCTGTCTCTGTTTCCTGTTCTCCTTGCCATGGGCAGCTTTTCTCCACTATGCCATATTCCTCACCATGCTAGCTGACCACGGACTGAAACTTCTTCCAACTGTGAGCCAAAAGAAATCTTTCCTCCTTCAAGTGATGGCTGTCTGGCACTGCATGTCGGCAACATGAAAGAGACTGAGATACTATCTTACTTAATTAGTTTCCCTTCAGCCTATGTTTTGAGATATATGTGTAGATTTGCTGAGGCTTTTCCTTTAAAATTCTACCACCATGTTTCTCGTTCATTATTTTGTTGTTTTTTACACGGTTAAATGTTTCTTATTTCTTCTAATATGTGTCAGAATAATATTATAATGTGATTACAAGTTTTTAAAAACAAGTCTCCAAGTGGAATGTTTCATGTATAATAATACTTAAATATGCAATAATCTTATCCACATGTGAGTTTTCAATCCCAAGAGCTAGTCTCATCAGTCACCATTCTCACCAAAAACGTAAGTGCTTAGGGTTCTGACAGTGGTAAAAAGTACAGCCCTCAGAAGGGCAGTCAAGTTTGGGTTACACTGGCCCCAAACATAGAGACAGGACTTTGGGCTGTACATTGAGGGCTTTTGCATTTACGGAAAAAGCATTTTTAACTAGCATGCATTAGTTGTACCCCTAAATGAAGCTCAATGTGACATTTTCAGACTGATATTTTAATATTTTTTAACTTCCACATCAGAAAAAGAACTTGTGGTAGTTTTCTATGTCTGGCTTATTTTACTTGATGTATGTCTCAATTTCATTCTTTATAGCTGAATAAGATTCCATTGTTATAGAAATTTGCCATATTTCCTAAGAATACAAAAAATGTAGATTTAAAAGTTAGCAATACTTTTTTCATTTTATCATTAATAATTTACATATGAAAGTTATAGAATCTTCTAGATTAGGAAAACAGCTGAAATAGCTTTGCCATCTACCCAAAAGAGTTGAGGTAGATTGAATTATTCTTGCGGCACTATGTGAACTGGGTTCTAACTCCTCAGTCAGAGAACTTCCCTGGGGGTTTATTAACTCATGATCACATAACTCAGAAAGCTCATGCTAGAAATAGAACCTGGATAGTATAAATTCCCCACTTTTTCTGAGTCTCTGAAATACATTACTGCCTGATGCAGATTTACTTTTATTTAAAATTAATTATCTCTGCGGAAGCTTCTCCAAAACGCTCCTAAGTCACATGACCAAGCACACACTGCCTGGAACAGGGCAGGATGATTTTGTTGACTGAATAAATAAAAAATTGTGACCAGGTTCCAGTTAACAGAAACAAAGGAAAATATCTTTCAAATATGCAAAAAAACTGACCTACTATCAAAAGGTTGCAAGAAACCCAGTAATAGCAAAGTTCCCCACAGGCTGATGGTTACAGGAAGTACCCTTTTCTTGGGTGACAGGAAGTCACCCCCCCAATATGGCCTCCTTTGTGGGTAAACCCCACCAGTTATTTGGGAACTTCTGAGAAATGTCCAGGGAGAATAGAGCTTTCTACCCTAGAAGGAAATGCCGCCCCTTGGAAAGGGATGTGAGAAGCCCTGTGACCCTACATGACCTGCCAGCTGCCCAGGGAGCAAGGCCAAGGTGGGGATCTCAGCCTCAAATGCCACCACCGCGAGAGAAAGATTGTAGCATGTGGCATCTGAGTCCCATAGCCAGAGACACGCCCTGCTTTTGAACACAGCTGTCTGTGCTCTTCTTAGATGGGAGGGACAAAGTCTCCAAGGCCAACTGAGAGCAAAGTCAGAGAATGCCAGCCAAGGTCACAGGAGTGAATCTGGTGGTCGGACTCCCTGCCTGAGCAAATTGATCTTTGCTAGAATTAATCCATTTTTGACACAGCTTCATTTGATGGCTCCTTATTCCTATTTTTTCCAACACACCTACACAGCTTGAGGCAATTCACACTATTGACCTTGTTCTTAACACTCACCTGGAAATTACCGATTATAAAATAACCAGATCAAGAGTTCGAGAACACCGAGCTCACCAAAACACAGCAATAGACCCTTTACCTAGTTGGCTATAAATATGCTACTTTCTGAAATGAATAAATGAAAGGTTTTAGCACCTTACAGTCTATTTCCAGTGCTTTTTTATAATCCTGAACACCTATTTACTCGCATTCCTGAGAAGGGTGACTTTTCTAGAGTACTGAAAGAACACGGCATTCACAGCCCTTTCCCCAATGACATTTACCACCCGTTGCCAAGAATGTCCAATTGGTGCCGAAGGGAAGGTGCCTTACCTGAGATCCCCTTGGATCACATGCATTTATTTTAAGCTAATTGTGTTGAGCGAAATCTTAAGCACAGCCTGTTGTTCTACTTTGACATGACTTTGAGCAATTTATCTGCACGAAAGTGGGAAGGCCTGTGTGTTACCAGTACTTCTCATGCCCACAACAGGAATATTTTGTTGACTTGTAAACAAAGAGAATGAAAAATGACTGTGTCTATGCTAAAAATTTTGTTTTACAAGGCTCTACAACAGCAGTTCATTTTGACTCTGTAAGATAATCATAGAAGAAAATGACATTCTAAGGTAAACTAATACATTCACTCTCATGGAAAATTACTTTGAAAAATTTCACTTGACATATTTATTTTTCAGTTCTCTTAATTGCATAGTGTTGATTCAAATGCACCTATAATCATATGCAGATTTTATTAACTCAAAGCCAGGGTCCTACTGGTTTCCACAGAACAACTGACGGTGGCCTAGGAATGGAAGAGTTGTAGAATTGAAATCTAGAAAATCATGGATCCGTTTAGCCAGTAGAGTCAGATGGACTTTATACAAAGATCTAAGGCAGTGATTCTTAGCCTTCCCCCATACTACATAATCACCTGGAGAAGGTTTGAAATCTCACAGTAATAAAATCAAGTCTCCGGAGTCCCATGTCATCATTTAGAAAAAAACCACAGGTGATTTCAATGTAGTATTCAAGCTCAAGAACTCTGGTCTACATAAAAAATACTTCACCTTCACCTTCAGTAGTACTTAGAATGTACAGAATGTCTTAGCCGCATGGTCAGACATACTACGGACTTTTCCTGTAATGCAGGTTATCAAGGTAACACGTGCGTCCTTGCTTTAGTCTGGCATTCCGCAATTCACAAGCATTTGGAGATGACTTTTATGTGGAGATAAATGTGTTAATCAGAGAAGTTGTATTGCTTGTTCCTTATTTTCCCTAATTTTTATTGAAAACACATGATATTTCCAACATGGCTAGGCTGATCCTTTCATTGTGTAGTTTTAAATTTACAATGCAGAGTTCATTTTAGTTTACCCAAATTTGGTATTGGGCCTATACACCATTTCACATCATAAATAAATTAAAATTGCATAGAGATGAAAATATCAAAGTAATTAATGTACAATGATTTTTAAAAGTCCACAACATGTGGAGAATATATTGTTACTTTGAAATGAAGAGGCCTTCCAAGCACAGAAATTATGAAGTGAATGTGAACTGATTTGATTGCTCAATTATGCAAAATACCACATAGAGAAAGGTAAAACTAGGCAGGAATATTCCAGATATATAAGCAGATGAACAGTTCATATTCAAAATAGTTACTTACAAATTAAAAAGGCAAATATTAACAGCACAAAAGAAAAATGTATACATTTCAAAGGTAAGCTGTTCACAAAAGAAGCATGAACTATCAAATACATAAACATATGTTCAATCTCTGAAAGAATAATTAGCTAAATTGCAATAAATAAATAAATAGTGAAATTAAAAATGAATGCTTGGCGTGTCTGAGTGAAGATCTTACTCAAATGGTATTTTCTCCCTTCCAATTCTGTCTTTTTAAAAATGTTTTCAATTTTTATTAATGCATTTTGGAGTACATAGGATTAAAAGTGAAGGGAACCAAGAAACCAACTTTAAAAATTAGCACTGTATCAAGGCATCATTCCATGTCAGTTGATCTTTGCCAAATGACATGGTGTCCAATGGTTGCAGGCTTTTCTGTTCTTTCTAAAGAATTGACTGGGCCAGTCAATAAATGTGAAAAAAGTAACATTT